ATGTCTGACCATGTGAAATTGAAATTTCAAGAGAAGCGGTAAAACTGTCACAATTTTATGACAAAGAAACCGATGAATTAATTTTGGAATGTGACCATTTCAAATCCTTTATCAGCATAGATATTGAAAAACTAAAAAAACAGGAAGTAGAAATGGGGAGGAAACATGAAATTGGTATGAGAATTTTTTTTATCCATGATTTGTTGAGTATTGAAAGCAAAATTTTACAAACCGTTGATTTTGAAGACATAATTCACGATTTTGCCTCTGTAAACTCTAGAAAACGACCTTTGTAATTTGTTATTCTCTTTCCACAATATATACATTACATTTTCACATTTCAAAAGTTTTTCTAACTTATACATGTCGTATGCCCTAGAGCACCCCCCTCCCTGTAGGTAAGGGGCCTCCTTTGACATATAGGCCCAGGGCCTCAAGAAGTCTTAAGACGTCCCTGGCTGCGGTAGGGCAACTTGACATTGCCCAGACAGACCAGCCTTTATACCTTCTTTAGTATCATATGAGCGGACCTACTCAGTTTTTGACCACCATACCGCGCGATGAGGTATATTTGGCCATGTGCTTTAATACTGTCGTGTCGTGTGTTTGAGCCCCCTTGTCTTATCAATAAGTTTGCGGCGTTTTCAGGTAGCCACTACGGCTCAAGAGACAGTTCTATCTAGATAGCTGTTCCAAATGAGTTTGTGATCCAATGTGCGCCCTAAGTATTTCACCTAATTGAAAAATGTTAACGTTCTTTTAAGGGAAGGTGCACGGATTTTCAGCTTTCACCTTCTCATAAACGGAACTAAAATTGTTTTGTTAAGGTTCCGCGTAGTCTAGGACCATTTTAATCCAGCTCTGATCAACTTGGTTAGGATGTTGTTCACCACTAGCTTCCACAGTGTGGACGAGAGAAGGCCCCCTTATGGACACCTTCTGACTGTGAATACGGCTGATATTGCTCCGTTTATTCCAAAGCTCTAACCGAGTTACATTGAGCCATTTGGAGACATATACAAAAAATAATTCCAATATTTTAACTATTAAATGGGCATAAAATAGGGATGAATTGTATTCACTAGATATGGACTCTTCGATAAATTGATCAATATTTATATTACAATATAATAGGTACAAAATGATTGACTTGTCAAAAATAAATTGATTTTTTGTTCTTGATCAAAGTACTGCTTAATTAAATATTTGCTTGCTCTAACCAGTTATACTAGAAAGTCTGCTTGAAAACGATGCAGAATGGTTTAAAAATTAAATAGCAATTGTTGACTAACCCTGGTTTTGATTGATTTTACCGAAAAAAGCGCATCTATGTTAGTTGATATTTATTTTTCATGGGACAATAAGATTTGGAACTCCCTCCCACCACAAACCTCTGCAAAATTTTCCGGGGTGTTAACATATACTACACGATTACCTTACTGATATAGTGAGAATTTAAAAATAGTCTCTTGCTTTCATCATCAAAAGTGCCACGGGGTACAATAGGCCCGCTAACTAAATAGGAAATCGACATGTTTAATATACGCCCTATAATGCATCTTTGGATTTTTTTGATAGTTTAACAGCCTAAATAAACTTATTTTTAATACAAATCTGTACCTAACCCTCAGTTACATTCATATTAAATCCTTGATAAAATGTGGAAAAAAGCAATTCTAAGTCAAAACTATTTTTTTTCCTCTAGAGGAATCAACGTGGAAGCTTATTAAGATCGAATTGCTCTTTGTTTTGTTTGTCCAATACCAAAACATGAAAAGGCATTTATCTTTCGCAGTTGGAAACAGAATAAAGTGACGTAGGTAGCTGTATGCTGTTTGGAATAAATGAAATTTTCGTGATCGAATTGTCATTTAAAGGCAAAGAAGATTTGTTCGCTTTTCATTGCCTGAGAGTTTTTTGATAGGTACTATTTCACAACCGAACCTTATAATCTAGATTGTCTCGGGCGTCGCTTTTCTAATTAATTATGTAGCGTATGCAGGCGAAAATAGAAAAGTTTCTTTTAAAATAAAAGAATTTTTATTGAAACTGACATGCCTTTTTATTAAAACAGAAGTTTTTTCTCGCAATCATCTCCTTAGTCTAAATGCTGGGTGAAGATGGTATAGCTTCATTCGTTTTCAACTAAATAGAACATAATATTTTGTTGTAACTGTAAGACTGAACCGGACCGCAATTCAAAAATCCGGAGGACACTACAATTTACTAAAGTGCGCCGCTAGTCTTCCAAGAATGACAATAATATGACATTCGTAAATGACAAATTTATTACTTTATTCTGGTTTCTATCTTTAATATTTTTGTGTGTCGGCATTGTAGGTCTGTTCTCACAGAAATCACAAACCTATCAAAGCGAATTTTATTAGTTGAATGTAGGTACAGATGTCTAATTGTTAGAGCTCCGATGACATGGCTACATACTTGAGTGTAGATTTTCGTGGCTCTATCTTAGGCATATTAGAGACTTTCTCCAAGCTTCTCAACCCTACACAACTATGGCACCCTTGTCGATGCATTAGAGAGTCATTATGGGAATCAACACCGAAGGTAACTTTACCAGGTGCATCTAAGAACAAAACAACAGAAATAACCAATAGTAGAAATTATTGAAGGCTAGATGTAGGAACTTCTGGAAAAATAACGGAAGAATATCAGGTACCAGAATGAAACAGGGGAATGGTGCCTTGATTGTTACCGCTGCGGTGGAAGAGGGTTTCTTAGGCGTGATTTTACAGTATGATCGAGATCTCTTTGTCACTTTAATGACTAACAGCCATCAATAAGAAATTTAAACCGAGGTTCCGTATGTAACCGCTTCGGAAGAAGGGGGCATTTGAAACGTGAGAGTACAACTGAGTAGTCTCTTTCTTTCTGATGAATGTTAGCCTTCGATTGAGAAGTTGGAGCAATACGATATTTTGAATCGCTCTGGCGAACTGCATAACAACGCAAATGCATTATCCAACCAAACATGCCGAGATCAAAACAAGAATTCCTTCAGAATTGAATCCCGAAAAAGAGTTTGGCTTGTTTGAAAGAGAATTGAACAGGCTAATGAATCAAAGTAAAACTTTTGATATTTGAGAAAAATTCAAAATGGCGGACTTCTTCAAAAATAACCTAGTTTTGGATATGAAAAGTTGAGATTTGATATCAAAAAAATTTCACTTAGTTTTCAACCGATCTTTCGTGTCAAGGTCTTAAAATGTTCGCAAAATGACAAAGTTTAAGAATTTATTAACAAAAGTTATACAGGGGGTCACAAAAAAGTTCCAGCGCTATCCAAAACTAGGTAATTTATGAAGAAGTTTGCCATTTTGAATTTTTCGCAAATGTCAAAAGTTTCACTTTGATTGGTTAGCCTGTTTATTTCTCTTTCAAACCAACTAAAACAAAAGAAAATTGGTCAACAACAAAAGAAGTTACAGCTCATAAACAAAATTCCGTTTTTTTTTTTGGACCACCCTATATTTCTGAACATTTTGGGAAAGCGGCAATAGATCACCAATAAAATGGAGCAAGCGCAGAAAGAAAAACCACGAACAAGAAGACTAGTGGAATACGACTGCTGATCCAGAAGTTGAAAATTATCCTTGAAACAGTCGCTTTACAGATTTCTACGAATACTACTACGAGTGGTACGACCATCCACGAATTCGTAGACATGGCACTGGCAGCATCGCAGTCATCAGTGAACAGGTTGTCATTTTTCTAGTTTCCATGGGGTCAGTCCAAGAAAAGAAGAGCCACGCAGGTGTGAGGGTAGATCTGGAAAGTCAGGAAGGCCGAGCGGTCTAAGGCACTGCGTTCAGGTCACAGTCTACTTAGAGAAGAATAGATGTTAAGCAAGTGAATAAATGGAATCATCATGGATCTGAGTGGTGGTATAGACGTTGAAAAGAAAGTGGTGCATCTTTTGTTACGGAATTGCATCGAGAACCCGGCCAGATTCTAAGAATCCCGTTGTTTACATCTAGAGCACGTCTATTCTGGGAATTCTGTCATATTCCAATAAAAAAAATATCTTGAGATGAATTAAAAATACAATGTCTTCTATATAAATAGCGCATAGTAGTCAGTTTAAAATAAAAGTGTTGTTGTAGTCAGTTTTAATTCGAGTTTTGCTGTGTTTAGTAGAAATTAGCGATAACTCAGTAGCTGCGAGCGAACAGGAAAGAGCCCAGCACTCAATCCTCGGCCGATACTAAAAATTTTTATAAAGTGAATTTCAAAGTTCAATACAAATTATTATGTTTGTAAGTGAGTTTTAGTGGAATCTGTGACAATACAGAAACATTCAATTGAGAAATCTCTGGAATCACGTAAATGCTTGATTATTCAAATCGCACAATGGAATTCCTGAAAACTCACGCTTCGCCGGTCGTTAACTGTGGCGCCGGATACTCCGCACCAATGTTATTTCGTAACCATATTTTTAAACTTACTCGTTAATCCATTTTATTTTCCATCAACTTACCACCAGTGGCTTCATAGACTACCTAATAATATTATTAGTTTATAGCTTGACATCTAATGGAAAAAAAAAATAACTGCCTTGGATAGGCAAAAACAAAAGTCACACCATAGAAAGTTTGAAAAACTTGTTGGTTCTTTATTTTCAAAACTAGGTTTACCTCGTAAGTCTTGGAATTTTTATTAAGTTTTGTTATAAATTTGGCCATGAAGCACTCATGTTCGAAACTCTCTGAGAAATCTGCTTCAACATTCCAAAAAAGTAATTTTGTCCCGACATAAAAGAGATATGGCTTCTAAACCTATAAAGTCCCCTTTGTTTTCCAAGCACTTCTATTTTAATTAAGAGATGATTTTCTTTGAAACTTGTAAAAGAAGAATCCTGAAATTGTTCGAATATAAGACTTTAATTTTTTTTCAAATATCATGAAGCTGAATATATCTATCTTATAAATCACTCTACTCTACCATAATTATTAGTTTCTTTGCTTTTCTGTTAAAATTAGGTACAATCTCCCAGAGGACTCCTTACATGACATAAGCAAAGAGCTTCGTCGACTCTTTGCTCTTGGGTACCGTTGGGGACATTCTTACACTCAATGTCGTCTTCAGGAAATGCTGTTTGCTTTGAAAGAACAGTGCGTATTTCTTTTAAATTTATTATGCTCTAAACATTTAACCAAAAAAATTACTGGACAGAGTGGACTTCGACCCCGATTCTTGTTCCCATCTTTCGGACAACGACTTGGAAGGCGCCCTACGAGCATTGGAGGGCCAAGAGGAGCTAGACCCCCAGGAAGTGGCTATAATAAAGTATACACCAAGTGTGGAGAACCCCCATGCGAATTTTGCTGATGAAATCTATTATCCACCAGTAGATAATTCGAGACAACAGGAGGATTTGAGGAGGAAAATATTGGGACCAGGACAGGGAATTGATCGTGAGTATATTAATAAATAATTATTTGAAAAAGTTGGGAGTTTTAAATTTACTTTGTGACAAATTAAATTGAATTGAAGAAGGTTTGATGGGCAGTTTGTGCAAGGTTAAAATAGCTGAATAAAAAAACGCGATGACAAGTTGAGTTGGGTAAAATTTATTTAGAAGTTTTTCGAAAGAAATAAGGTAAATTTTGTATAGAATCTAGAGCTAAAATCTTCCAGTATTTCAATCTCGGAACAAATTTTTCTGCCTTCCTTCTTAACAAATGCGACATTAGATGGATTTAATAAAGAGGCTTTATTGTTTGTCAGTTCTGGATATGCCTGATCCACTAATGGAGTACGCGGTTTCCAAGAAGAATTGGTTACCACCAATGCGGCGAAGATCAATCACCCCTTTTTTTGATGGCAGGTAAGTCTCTATTGATTATTTTTTGTTCTTTCTGTCTTTAAAACAGCTGATGATAAATTGGTCGTAGTATATAACTATAAATAGCAATAGCAACTAAGAAAGATAATAATGAACATATTTATACTTCTGTGTCCTTCAGAGATTGGCGGTCTTATCAACAGTTACGTAACATGATAACACCAGCTGTTGCTCGAGAGAAAAAAGCATATTTTAATATGCAAGCTCATAAAAACCCAAAAAAATTATGGGCATCTTTAGAATCCTCAAATCTGCTGCAAAAAGAAAATAAAGTTGCCCTTCCTTAAAATTTAAGCAACGTTGACAATATTAATAAACATTTCATCGAATCAATACCAAAAGTAACTGTTGATAACTCTCAGCAATTTTTACAAAAATAACATGAAAGATAACGTATCAAGTGTCTTTTGTTTTAGTCCAGTGACAGAATCTGAGGTCTTGAATAATATTAGAAAAATTAAGTCAAAAGCAACAGGATTGGACGGAATAAATATTTTAACTTTAAACCTCTGCTTACCGTTCCTTTCGCCCTATTTAACGCATATTATAAATACCCGAATCTTTCAATAATCTCAGACCAATTAGCGTTCTACCGACGATGTCCAAGATCCTAAAAAAATCATCGAAACTCAACTGCAGACACATATTGAAAAATATAATCTTTTACCTGTGCACCAATCAGGATTTCGTCCCAATTATAGTTGTGTAACAGCACTCACCAAAATAACAGACGATATATTTAGAGCAATTGATGAAGGCAAACTAACAGTCCTTGTACTTCTTGACTACTCAAGGGCTTTTGACACATTGAATCATCAGCTTTTGAGCTCCATTATGCATTACTTGGGATTGTTCGGGAGTGCAAACAAACTGATGGATGAGTTTTTACTGGGTAGAAATCAAGCGAGTTTTTATGCTAACAATCTATCTTCATTTTTGCAGGTAGCGATAAGCAATTTTAGGTCCTCTGATGAATTCTTTGTACGTCTTTAGCTTTCCTTCGTCGTTTTTTTCCTGCTTTCATGATTTTTACGCGATGACACTCAGTTATACTTGCCTTTTTCTATAACTGAATCCGATCAAACTGTAGCAGCTATTAACTACGATTTAAATAATGTTCTGGATCTTTCTAAAAAACACGGCCTTCAATTAAATTAATACTCAAAAGTCAGGTATTGTCTTTGAACCAAAAAATCACAGAGAGGAATTTCTGGCCACCTGTGGGGGGTGCATTAAACTGGGTTCTGAGCCTATAGTTGAGCACAAATCTATTAGAAACTTAGGCCTTATAATGGATCAGAATTTAAGGTTTACAGACCATGTTAATAGGTGCCTGCAGAGGGCTTATGCTAACTTAAGGACGATCCACCAGCATCGCTCGTGTTCGAACAAAAAATCGAAACCATGATATGTGAAAGTTTTGTTTTGTCACAAGCTAACTATTGTGATACCATTTAAAGCCCGTGTTTCAATCAAATAGATTTAAAAAAAAATCAAAAACTGCAAAACTCTTGCTTGCGATTGGTCCATGGTGTAAGAAAATATAGTCCAATAAGCCACACTCTAATAGGTAAATATGTTTGATAAACGATATTTACATGCAGCCACCTTTTATTTTAATATACCTAATTAAAAACAAAGTTCCCAACTATCTGCACAACAAAATAAGATACAGATCCGATGTTCACAATATAAATATTCGGTTCAGTGGACGGTTAATACCCCCATTACACTCTCTACAGATCTTCAAAAGATCCTTCTCATATCGTATTGTATCAGTATTTAATCAGCGCCCATCCTCACTTCTGAGAAAACTAATAATAAACTATCATTTAATAAGAAAATGTTTCAAATTTTATTTGAAAAACAAAAACAATCTCATTCTGCAACTTGAACGTCGATGAGTATGTTTTTTTTTTCCTCTCCTTATCTGCTCACATCTTTGTTTATGGTAATAATTATGAACATTTATATTTATACTGCTGTGTCTTTCTATTTTTCTTTCACAGGCTTTTTGTTTGGTATAAACAAGGTTGATATTTTTTGGTGATCCATTAGATGAAACAGAAGAATCATCCAGAAATTAGAGCTGGAAGCTTAAGATCAATTTTGTATTTTTAACTAATTTGAAATTAGGTCTTGAAATTCCTAAATGCTCAATCATTGGAAATAGTAGATGTATAAAAAACTCGAATTTAGATAGATATTATTGTCAATAATACCAATTCAGTTTTTATCAATTTAGATATTCTGGACCAGTAATTCTTTTTTGATTCATAATTATCATTAGGTAAAATTTAGCCTACTATGTAAAAAAATATGTACAAAATCTGTACGAAATTAAATAGGCTGGCTAATTCACTAAAATTTAAGTACGAAATTTAAGTATGGGTATATAAAATCGTAAACGAGGGACTAATTTAGGTATATTTGCCAAAAAAAATAATCTACGAGCTTATATGAGCTTTCCACAGGGCACTGCAAAACTGGAGAAATTTAAAATTCTTAAAACGCGCCAAACGTTGACGTATAAGCATCATACCAAGATCATACCAATCAAATTTGAGACGACAAAGCACAACAACTGGTTCCCGTTGCCGCAGAGGAAAAAATTAAAGCTAATTACAAAAATAAATTTAAATTGTGTATGATAATAATTTAAAAAAAAAGAATTATAAAATCTAGAATCCCTAAACCTATTACAAATTTTCAATGCTCGCAATTAGCAAGTCTCTCAAAATTCAAGTTGTGACGTAGTGAGGATAAATTCCGTGTTTTTATTTGAAGAGTTTCCTCTTTCATTCATTTTCTCAAAAAGGACAATGAATTTTTCAAAATTAAGAATGCAGGAAATTCTATTTTTAGTTGCTTTATCCAATTATGCCAATTTCGAAAATAAGTGAAAGAGCCCATGCAATAAATTCGCTATCTATCTGAAAATAAAACTCTTATGAAAACTGGAGATTTTGTAGAATAAATTTACGAACAAGAAATTTATTTAAAAAAATTGTTGTTTGATAAATCCCTGGTTTTAAGCCAGGACTCAATTAGAATCCCTTTAATTTTTTCGATTCAGTTCCGTATTAGGTTATATTTTTTGCAATGTGTTGGATTTTAGTGGCATGCAGACGTTTCAAGTAAGACTGATAAAAAAAATTCTTGCCTCGACTAGGATTTGAACCCAGGACCCTCGCATATCCAGTGCAATTTGCAATATTTTTTGAACTAAATCCGAAAATGCTACTTAATGGTTTGGTTATGAGTAACATTCACTATACCTACAGGGTGAGTTTTTTAAAGTGTTATACTGCGATATCTCGAAAACGGTTTCAAATATTTTCACAACATTTCCTCCACTTTCTTTTGGGGGGTGAGGGGAAGTAACTTTTAAATTTCAAGTAGAATGCTGTTTTTCATTCCAAAATACAAATCTACGTGAAAAAATGGGTCTGTGCGTGCAAAAAAAAATTCTAATTGCTCTACTGGTTATGGAATTATGACTTATTATGTTAATACATTTAGGCCCGGTTTATTCATCTTCAGATAAACTTGCTGGTAACTATCTGCAAGATAAATTTACCGTCCTACAATTTTATTGGTCGGCGGATAACTGGCCGACCAATGAGATAACGAATTGCGTTTTTATTCCTCAGATTGCATACCTGACATTTTATCAGAAGGTGAATAAACCGGCCCTAAAAATTACTTACAACCTAATTTCTAATTATTTATCGTCTATTATCCCTAAGGATTTCTTCGAAATGCCACCCTTCGACTTCCAAACACTTTCTCACTTTTTCTTTAAATGAATTTCGTACCCGCGTTAAGATTGCAGGTGTCACTAATAGGCAAGCAGAACGGATTCGATCTCTCATGTTATCTGGAGTTGTAGGTGCAGTAGCCATTACTTTTTCTTTTATAAAGCCCCATAAAAAAAAGTCGAGAGGAGTCAAATCTGGAGAACGAGCAGGACATTTGACCGGACCAAATCGACCGAAGTTTCAAATATTCGATCCAAATAATTACGAGCTGGTACCGCGTAATGGTGTGGAGCATATGGTTTCACCAAGACGGGGGGCTTCACCCCATTATGCGATACGGCCCGTAATTATTTAGATCAAATATTTGAAAATAGGTGTGGTCCGGTCGACTGGCCTGATCGTTCTCCAGATTTCACTCCTCTTGAATTTTTTATGGAGGCTTTAAAAATGATAAAGTAACTACTGAGAGATCGAATCCGTTCTGCTTGCCTTTTAGTGACACCTGCAATGTGAGTGCGGGTACTTAATTCATTTCAAGAAAGAGTTAGAAAGCGTTTGGAAGTCCAAGGGGGCATTTTGAACAAATCCTTAGGCATAATAGACAATAAATAATTAGAAATTAGGTTGTAAGTAAGTTTTTCATTGTATTAACATAATAAGTAAGAATTCTGTAAACAGTAGAGCAATTTGAATTTGTTTCTGCACACAGGCCTATTTTTTTACGTTAATTCGTATATTGGAATTAAAAACATAGCATTCTACCTGAAAATTTCATAGTTTCCCCCCACCCCTCAACAGTGGGTGGAAAAAAAATTATCAAATAAGTATATCGTGAAATATGTTCTCCTCTGTACTTAATAGGTTATTAAAATATTTGAAACCGTTTTCGAGACATCGCATTGTAACACTTTAAAAAACTCACCCGTGTATATTCATATTTCCAATAATTCTATTCAAAAAAAAATTTCGGCCGTTAGTTGGTCGGTCTCGAATTTCTGCTGATGCTTTTGGGTAGGCCAAATTAACCAGACGGCGGATATCGGTTCCAAATTCTTGTAAACTTTCGACAGCTTTCTATTGTCTCATTTTTAGATGCAGTTAATAAGCCTGTTATCGTAGTTGTTCCTTATAGCAACGCGCTAACGCATCAAGAAGCTCACCTACTTTGTCGAGCAGCTGTCGGAAGAATCTCTAATAGTTCTAAGGCAGGCCCACGCCATGCTACAATCAAGCCTGTAGCCATGTCATGAGGCCTTCTCCCATAAGTCATTGCTTATAATACAACACCCACGATGTCTGACCATTGTATTGCGGTGATTTATCTTTATTACCAGTTGCAGGCGAAGCTGAGATATTTCCAGGTCTCAAGTCACATTCCAACGTCCACATCAATTTTTTGACGAAAAGAATAATTTTGCATATAACTACCGCATTTATTTTACTGATGTATATTTTTTATCAAAATAAATGTCTCCTTATGTATATGAAAGTCTCTTCAATGCGTCAGTGAATGCATTAATTCGATGGCCAAGAGCTTGCTAATATAACTTAGCACGGGGTAACAAAGGATAACGCACACCTAATATGGGATTTTTGGGCTCTATGGATTTTGCCTATTTTTTGATATTGCGTAGAGGATTTAATTCTTAACAGCCTTTAAATGCACGTGACGAAATCTTGTAGATATTACGGTCTTTGAGATATGAGCGTTGAAAGGTGAACTTTTTTGCGACCTATTGTGTGGAGAGTATACGAAATACTGGTGCTACTGGTGTTTATCAGTCAAAATATTGACAGGTTCACATATTTGACGTCACTAACCTTATGCCCGTATTACATCTGTGTATTTTTCCGTGTATTTATTTATGTAGTTCAGGGTGACAACCGAAAAACTTCAAACGCAACATAAATCAGCATTATGGAAAACAAAATAATGTTGGCACCCTGAACTACATAAATAAATACACAGAAAAATACAAAGATCTAATACGGGCATTAGTCACTAACAAATTAATGGCAACATAGGCTAAGGCCCGGACCGCACTGGAGTCAATGTTGGCGCTAATGCGGTCCCGGCCTTAGCCTACGTTGACATTGTAAGTGACGTAAAATATGTGAACCTATCAATATTTTGACTGGTGAACACCAGTATTTCGTATACTCTCCACACAAAAAGTCGCGAAAAAGTTCATCTTTTAAGGCTCATATCTCAAAGACCGTAATACCTATAAGATTTCGTCCCATTTAAAAGTTGTTAAGAATTAAATCCTCGACAACATATCCAAAAATGGCCAAAATCCATAGAGCCCAAAAATCCCATATTAGGTGTGCGTTATCCTTTACCATCTAAAACTCCACGTCCGTTGAAGATATCAAGATATCAAGTTTCACCACATTTAAAGCAAATATCCTTCCGGTCAGATGAATTTTTTCACTTCTCGACCACTGTTTTGTACATTTTCGACTTCAATGGCACATTGCTAACTTGTTTCTATTGATTATCCAGCAAAAAATCATCAGACATACAAACCCAAAGAATATAAAGGATTTATCATGAAAGTCATGTATTGATGACCCCAATCCATATAATCTGCAAGAACTTGTATTTGGAAAAGGATCATCGCAAGGTTTCCATTTTTTCATTCATAATATGCACTTCTTTGATATTCTTTCCAAAAAAATTTAATCGTTTTCCTTTAGATACGGCGTCCCTAAGTATCGGCGTGTCGATAGCGACCTACTGGACTCGATCGAGTTTCTTCACGAGTACGAAAAAGAATATCCACAAAATACTAATTTACCACCAGGAACCACTTTATCCCAAGATGCTCAAGAAGCAGTGGGAGATTTTCGTGAAGAAGAAATATATCCTCTAATTAAATTGTTAAATCAACTACAAATTTCACCCAGAGACTTGCGACAATATCTAAGCCCTTCAAATTATAGAAAACTATCTAGGATTCTGGAAAGGTATGAAGAATCTAATGATGACGAGCCACCAAGCCAAGTAATTTTAAACGAACTTCTTAAAGGGCGAGGCCGGGAAGGAGGAGGTAAGGTCTTATTTATTAATGAAAGAGTATTGCAACCTCATATTTATAAAAATCGTTCAGGTAATGTAAATGAACCTGATGAAAGATTCACTTTAACTTATAATACGCCAGATGGATTTAGATCTGGTTGGGAATCCAGAGATATTGTTCCAGAGGATGAGGAGTTACTGGAACCTAGAATTTATTTTGGAGAAGGTAAAATTGTGTGAGCTCTTCGACACCTAATCAACTAATCAACTGATTTTGTTTTTCAGAAGAAGATATTCCAGAACACGCAGAATATGGCAGTGGAATCCCTGAAGAGCTCTTTACCGAACGAAAATTGGAATTTTTAGGCCCTAGTAAGGATTTTTTTAGAGAGCTAAAGCAGAAACAAAAAGTAGATGATGGCAGTTTTAATAGAAAATGGAAAATGAAGCCTGTACTTTATTCTGAAGGAGGGGCTGAGCCAGAGGATGTTGCTGAGGAATTGGGTAAGAATCATTAATATTATCATTGTTGTTCAAATTATTTTTTGAAGCATTTAAAAATAGCAGAAAAAATGGCTGTTTGCTCAATATTTCACACCGCAATAACATCATTAGAGCACTTTTTTTCTTTACATTATTTTATTCAATTAGAAAACCAACAAGAAAGAGAAATAGCCATGAGAGATGATTTGAGCGTATGGGATAGATACAATATGGGATTCAAGAGACCGGAAAGATTGGACGTGAAAAAACCTGGACCACCCTTTGATCCTACTATTACCGAACCAGCAAAGAAAGGTTGGAAACTTTTTAATTTAAAATTTGAGTTAGAATACCTTACTTTTCTTATTATAGCCAAATATTTGTATAATTATTATTCAAAAGTACCTACCTAATAAAAGTCCATACAGTCACTTGTAATTTGAATTTGCTTTCTGTAGCTTTTGCCGAAAATGACATTATAATTCCTTCGATGATGAAAAAAGGACCTCGGGGTGGCAAGCCAAATCCAAGCAGTTTAGACGGGATGAGAAATTATTACAATAAGGACGGCGATGGACAATATGTACATATTGAGTTTAAAGGCACTTTAACAGAATGGCGACAGGGCAAGGAGATTATTAGGAATATATCTAAGTTGTTGCATATGGATTGGTCCAATTTTCCCGATGGGGAGTAAGTATTTTCATTGTTATACTTTTTTGTTTTCAAACTTTTCAGTTTCTTAGAATTGTTTAGGTGATTCGATCAAATATTTTGAGATTGCAGAATTTGATATTGTTTTGGTCATGTGCTTTCTGAGATCATAGTCGTATTTATGAAAATACAAAAATGTGTCTTGCAAAAAGGCATTTGCTACTATGATCCCTTTCTATCTATAAAAAAAGCTTCGTGTAGCAGGAGAAATTAGCATTTTTATTTGTTACAGGGTGCATCGGCAGTCCGTTACATTTAGAGTGGCTCCAAATAATCGCGGATACAATGCTAGCGATGTTGGCCGTCATATTGGTAAGCCTTCATTTCTGAATCCTGACTCTGTACTAAAAATCGAACAAAATAAAATATTTCAATATAAAGTCGATTTCAGTATATTATACTATCTCTGTTTCGGATTAATTTGAGTTTTTTTTTGTACTTCAGAAGATTGGAATAGTTTTTAAATATTCAAAAATCAATAAATGGTACCTAATTATGAGATCAGATAGTTTTAAATAAGTTATGAGGATGTCATTGGTTTTTCTTTCTAATTTAGGAACTCGTACCTAGCAATTATTTTTTTAAAGAAAAGTCCATAGACAATATCTGATTTGTATAAAGCTAGATTGCTTTTGCAGATATATTCAAGTAGATGTGATGGGTTAAGGACAAGCAACTAAAAAGGCTTTTTTGAATATTAACCCTATTAGACTCCATAGTAAATAGCTTTATTTAACAAGGCTATTGATAATATTGACCTCAGAATCTTCTAAGAGATTTTTTAGCCTCTATCGCGTCTTGAATGCGTTTTGTTTTATGTTTTCCAAAGTCTTTTCTTATACTTTTGTTTATTTATCTATAGTCTCCTGGTTCATATTTCTTTGTCTTTCTATGAGGTTCTTGGAATTTGCGCTGATTCTATTACGTTTTTCTCTATTTTTAAAACATACCTTTTTGGTTTCTACTTGTATGCTCGTATTAATGCGTTCTGTTAGTTACTTCATTGATTTTCATTTGTTCCTTCCTCTCCCTAACTTCAAGGGTTATTTTTTCTAAGGTTTTGAAACCTTTCACTGTTTCTTTTTTGTGTCTCATTATGGTCCACAGTACATCGCACCTTTTTTTTAATGATTAACACTCATCTAATTCGTCAGTGATTTTATTTTAACGTAACCTACAACTTTTTATCTACTGAAACTTCTGGGAATTGGCCGTTTGCATTCTGGAAAGAGGTAAGCATGTCAATTTAACGAATTAATGAAAAGGTATGACCAACCATTTGCTTTCCACTTGAATAGAAAAGAATTTAATATAAAAATTGAAATAAAACCGACAAAAATAATGGTTCGTTTGGCGAGACCTACACCATGGACATGTGAAAATAAAGAGGTTTGGAATATTTACCAACAAATTGCTGATTTTCAGTCAGTTGTTTAATAAATAAAATTAGAATCAAATGGTCATACTGGCCTATAACTTTCACGGGCAGTTTTTCTAGACCTACGCCTTAAACATGTCAATTTAGCGATGTTTTGTTTACTGATGAATAACCATTTCTTTTTTAGTTTTTTTCTTCCTAAATTATGTATAGAATGCAGGGCCGTAGCGATATGACTATCCCTAGGGGGGGAGACTGAGATTCGGCGCTCCCTAAGCGCAGCGAAGGCAATTCAAAGGCGAGAAAAAATTAACTTTTTTGCAACTTTGGCAGACTATAAAACCTTAACGGTTAATTTTAGAATTTAGAACAATCATTTGACACCAATTTTGAATTTAAACCATGATTGAAAATTCCTTACAGCCTAACAAAGTTGCAAAAAAGTCAATTTTCAACTATCAATATTTCCAAAACAGAGTTGAACTTAGGTATAGGAATTAGTATAGGGTATAGATATCACATGAGATCTGCTAAGAATTTCACCACAGCATATCATATACAAAAACAAACAGCAGGTTAACTCTCACGCACATCTCTTCTGCGCAAGCTGCCATTCGAGAATACAGCCTATCACGGCTACGGCAGAATCACATGATTTAACGCGTATCTCTTCTGCGCATGCCGCCATTTGAGGCTACAAATCTCGAGTTAGCCTGCTGATTGTTTTTGTATACTCATGCTATGATTTTATGTAGAATCCGAATACTCAATAATATACTAATATACAGGGTATTCCATTTAAAATAAGAAAGTTGCAAGTTAAACCACGACCAGCTTTTCTGAAACATCCTTTATATGCGAAAGTAAGTTTTAAAAAAAAATTTGTTTCAACCATAAAACTTTTATTTGAGACACTTCTTTCTAAAATTTCAAATAAAAAAGATGTGTGACATTTATAACCAATAACCCTGTATTTCACAACGTCACTTTTCTTTTTCTTTTCCCTTTTGATCTTTCAGTTTAACTAGGTGTTTCCTCACTTCTGTTTCCGGCTTAGGTTCCGAATTCCGATAAACATTTTATTTCTTTAAATTGTTTCCTTTGTCTACCTATCGATGACTGCCAGTATTGGAGAAATATTTATTGATAATTTCCTTTGTATTATTTGAATAAACAAATGTGCGCCAGCAGGATTCGGTTAGTTCGACGTTATCTGATTGCACGGAATGAACCCATTCAGGTATACCTTGCCTTCCTAAGTGTTACTTCTTTCATTAAGTTCTGATACCCTATTGTGTGTCTTACTTGTTTTGTTCACTATTGTCTCCATGTTATAAGTGCACCTCACTTACGTCAACGAGAGCTGAGTCGGTGGTTGGGTTCGGTAATTGCATCTGCTAGCAAAAAGAGTGAATTTTGACGGACGTCACGTGATCACTTATCCACCACTTATCTTTTTTCAGGTGTCAAATCACGTGACATCTGTCAAATTTTGCTCGCAGATGCAATTCCAATTACCGAATCCAGCCGGGATTCACCGAGTTTCCGTTGCCCAGTTTCGATGGAACTTTTGGGGCGAGTTCACAATAGAAATTGAACTCTTGACTGGGGCGTGTTCACAATAGCCGGCGGGACGTGTTCACAATACCGCCGGGGAGTGTTCCGGGCGCACTGCAGCCTCCGGTTGCATGTTGAATTAGCATAAAAATACTATCCTTTCTGAATTATAATTGTTGTAAAATAGTATTTAATTACCTACTCGGAAACTTGCCTTTTGTCTAAGATTTTTTTTTTTTTGCACTTATATATTTTGGCGCCCCTGTGCCAGCTGCGCCCAGGGGGGAGGCTCCCCCGTCTCCCCCCCTGTTGGCTACGCCCCTGATAGAATGCACTCGAATATGTGGCCTACAATATAAATGGGCCATATATAAAAAAATCTAAAAACAGATCTACTACATGAATTTTCACTTTTTCGCCACATAATTCTCATATCTCGAAAAATATAAGTTCTATGAAAAAATGTTGTGAATGAAAAATGCTGCCCTTGCTGCAAAAAAAAATAATCTTATGGATTTTTCAGAAAATTAATATTTTGACCGTGAACTTCCATTAAGTATAGGCAACTATTTTTTCCTCGTAATTTCTATTTTTTCAATGGAATTCAATATATAATTATTATATCAAATATTGGAGACAATTTTGGATCCATGATATTTAGCAATTGATTTTTTTTTATCCAATCGTTTTTTAATTTAACGATAATAATAATTGTTGTGTGAATTAGGCACTTTGGCAGTGAAGACGCTAAAGAAGATGAATAATGGAATCAATTTCGTTATGATTGCTTGTTCCTAATTTTGTGATTATTTTTCTGTATTTTTTTTCCAATATTAGAAATAAATCATTGCTTATGAACTCAAAGTTAAAAAAAATTAATGTTTTTAAGGATTATGCACATCACCTTAGCCTTGGAAATTTGTCAGACTGACTCTGGTATAGTATAATAATGAAAACGCTTAAGTCTTTTTTACATGCGGTACTTTGGTATCTATAGCAAATATTTATATGTTTTGAATTTTATTGAACAGGTAGTCCAGTGTAGTCGAAAAGTATTTGCGATACTACTTGAAAAAGACTTAAGCGTGGTGTCAATTGACAAGCTTTGTCATTATTATACGTGGGTCGGTTTGTCAAATTTACAAGACTTATTTGATGCCAGTAATTAGTGAATAGCATTATTACCATTCTAATCAATGTTTTATTTTTTTTTGTAGGTTGCGCAATACTGCCCAATATTTGTGTACGCCACTACTCCAACTTGATCAATAAGTAACTCACCTTTCATGTGGCCTACAAGTGTTCATTAGTAAACAAAACATCGTTAAATTGACATGTTTAAGGCGTAGGTCTAGAAAAACTGCCCGTGAAAGTTATAGGCCAGTATGACCATTTGATTCTAATTATATTTATTACAATATACAAAAAATTTTACCCAACGTGAAAAAAAAATTCTATACATACAACGTTTTTGCTTTATAAAGTTTTTACTCACCCGCTGCCGTTTTTCAATAGGGGTAGATTCAAGTTTTTTTTATCTTTTTACAAAACAATTTTCCTGATATAAGTTTTATAAGATTACATTTCCTACAATTTTTCCTTATAAACTTTTTTTGCAACTCACCCCCATTCAGCGGGGGGACACTTACTTCCCTTAGGTTAAAAATTATAATTTTCATTATAAATTTCAAACGGCCCTTATGACCACAGACGGCCTTTAATCAAAAAAAGTCTTTAGATAAACCTTGTAGATCAAATAATGTTGCACATCTTTTATTTGAAACATTTTATTGTAAAATCAATAGGTACCAAGTAATCGCCAATGGCGCACTTTCAACCCCTATAGCGCAAAACGCCAGAGGGGTGAATGTGTGATTCTTCGGTTTTATGATCACCCACCCGCCCCTATCATCTCTGAAAAATTCATTTGGGTAGGAATTTTTTTGTTGAAAATCGACAATTTTCCTACACAATTTATTAATTTTTGATTGATATGAATATCAGTTTATCCAATACGCCACCTCAAAAATTTGATCAATTGGACTTAAAGTAGGCAATATAACTTAAACCTATAGCATAAAATAAATAGGCCTGCTTTCCTTATGTGTGTCTTTCCTGAAGAAAATTGAAATAACGGTCCAGCATTTGCTGCTCGGGATTAGGAAAATCCCAGAAAAACCTAATCAAACCATTTAACTTATTTACTAAGCCTAATTTCATTCTAATGTCTCCAAATTTCACTAGCATCAATGGTTGGGTAAACATGCCTACTAGTTGTTTCTCTGTGGACAAATATTTTTTATATTAATTACAACTTTCTCTATCTGTTCATTGAAAAATGATACTTTGTATTAATGATTTGATCTTTTGCGAATTGTTGGATTATTTGCAATACTTATGTAACCATTGTTGTCCTTCTAGGTCATAATTGGCTCTGATATCAATATTTATCTATATTTTCTGCTCATTATTTTAACCAAAGAGCCTCTGTGACAGCTTCAAAAAGAAACCCATATATTCGGCTTCAGTAGATGATGCCGCTAGTGACAACTGCCTTTTTGTATTTCAACATATCACACAATTTTCAAACAGTTGAAATAAATATCCTGTTGTGCTTTTTATATTATTTATATCATCTCCACCTCCCCAGTCAGGATCAATATAATCACTAAAGAAATTGATATATTCACAACTAAAATATTGTCAACTTTACATTGATTTTACCCTTAAGATACCTAAGAACCCTTTTCAAATACATATTGCCAAAGCTCTTCATTATTTTTGTTTTGATACCTGCTCAAAATATTACCAGCGGTACTTAAATCAGGCTTGGTATACATAACATAACATACATTAAACAGCCGATTAGATTGAGGCAAGGGCTATCATATTTTTCTTCTGAATTTAAACCAATCAAATTCAGTTTACTAGGAAGCGGAATGCTAATACAGCTGACGGCACAACATTCATGCATATCAAATTAATGTAAAATAGTTTTTATGTAGGTACATACCTATGTGAAAATTGATCAAGAGTACCTATTTTTATTTTTGATTACCTTATAATTTTAATACCTAAAAATAGTTCACTGTCTTTCAAATAAACCATAGAATAATTGTTTGCCAAATACCTTTTGAAACTATTCAATGTAATATTATCTGCAGTGGCAATTACCATCTACATAAAGAACTACATAAATATTTTTACATATTGCACCTTTGTCTAAGATATAAATACAGTGGTCAACGGATGAATTTTCAAACCCATTTTCTTCAAGAACCTTTACTATTATTTAAAACCAACATCTAGAGGTTTGTTTTAGTCCATAGATACAAAGCCTTAAAAACTTGGTTAGGTTTACTTGTCACACTTTGAGCCAGCCACCCTTCAGGAACCTTCATAAAAATGGCTTCCTTCATGTATTACTTAAACATTAAACTGATTAAAAAGGTAATTATAAACCAGAAACTCACGATACTCGCCACCTGTGCAAAGGTTTCATTAAAATCTACCAAGTATTCTTGACTGAAACCACGAGCAACTAAGTGAGCTTTGTATCTAAATGATTTTCCAATTTCATCATTTCCAATCGAAAATATCCATTTACAATCCACTTGCACTATATTTTTATTTTCGGGTCTTGATACTAACGACCACGTTTAACTATCAATAATGAATGAATATCATTTGGCAGATCTGTTTTTACTACAGATTTACTATATTCATTATTAGGTTGATAAGTTTGTTAGGGTTAACAGTTAACTACTTTTCTGGAATGTTGCTCATCTGATTTAGCTATATCAGATTTATTAACTACCGATCTTGACAAATAGTCAGAGGAAACATCTTTATCATCAAAGCGTTCTATTTTCACTTTTCCAAAGTTACTATTAACTACTGATATTGACAAATTATTACAGGAAACCGCTTTATGACCATAAAAGTTCTACATTTACTTTTCAAGCTTATTAGAAACTACTGATCTTGACAAACAGTCAGAGAAATCAGCTTTATGACCATAAGTGTTCTGCATTTACTTTTTCAAGCTTATGATTGACTACTGATCTTGACAAACAGTCAGAGGAATCAGCATTATGCAGATTAAAAGGCTTGGACGATAAAAATAAATTTGTCATATCTACGATAATAACCCTAATTAATAAACTTATTATTATTATCCACATCCCACACTTTATATTCATTTGGTTCATAACCAACCAGTTTAACTTTCCAGGAATTGATATCATTATGGAACCAAACACTTATGAATATTTTACTTGGGGCTTTTTACTACGCCATATTCGTATGGTGTTTCAAATTCTTTTAAAACTCTAGTAGGGGTCAAACTAAGTGAGAATGTTGCAGTTAAAACTGCCTCCCTCACCCCAAAAACTTTTTTTTTTGTTCACTGCTGCACGATTTAATTTGTGGGGTTCGTGGAATTGTCAAATGATGACTTATCTGTTTGCATACCAAAAATCTCTCATTTCAGTAGCTAGATATTCACCTCCATTGTCACAGAATAAATTGAAAATCTGTGAATTATTAAAATGTGCCCCACTTTCAGCAACTAAATCTTGAAACATACAAAATACATCTGACTTATGACTCATCAAATGTGTTACACAATAGTGAGTAAATTCATCCACAAACAGTACAATGTTTTTGGAATGGAAGTCGTGATTGTTTACCACTTATGCACGCTTCACATAAATACTCATTGTATAACCTGATCGATTTGCCCTAAGTCCTCGATCTTTGTTTTTTTTTTATTTTTTTTTACTTTTTATTTTTTTTAAAAATTTTTTTTTTTAATATAATTCAAAGAATAATTTAAACCTCATCGATGTGGCCCAAACGTTCATGCCACAATGGATAATTTTTATTTATATTTAATCGTCACTATGTGCTTGAATAATAGTGTTTATTAAATTTCCAATCACAGTAAGTTCAAGAGCAGTTATTATTAAAGTGTTCAAAGACTTACCCATAATTATAAGTTCACCGCCTTTGTAAATACTAGCATCTTTTTTTTTGTATAGTCATACCAGCCTGTTACATTTTTTTTACGGACAGCAAATTGTCAGGAACCTCTGGACAGTGCAATACATCCTCAAGAATTTCCTGTATGCTTATATCACTGGGAACACTAATTGTGCCCTTTTTGGTTGCTATTATAAAAGTTCTATTTTCCTTTTTGTTTTTGATGGAATTGTTTTGTTTCACTTCTTTCGTTGTGTTTGACTTGATTTTTTTTTTTATATAATCCAAAAATTGTTCCTCTGTGTGCTCAGTTCTCCCACAATGATGACACCTCAAAGCCGATGATGAATGGTGGCATTGGGTTTGAAATTGCGTCTTTCAAAATCGAGCTTGAAATATCCTTAACGATAATTATTCCTAAATTGCTGAGCTCTGGTAATCTGATCTAAGTTCAAGCTCTGTTAACATGGAGCCTTCTGTTTCTTTTTAGTTTCAAATTTTCCATTGTTATTATCTCACTAATCACTCCCGGTTTTCACAACCGCGATAAATACTCATACACTGGGCCCATAACCTATTGGGAAATGGACTAAAAAATGAAAAAACTTGTTAATTATTCTCAATATATTTATTTTATCGAACACAGCGTGGAGAGCAGAGCGAGTGAACTCATAGAACTAACTATAGGAACTGACTCAACATCTAAAGACAAAGAATTACAAACACTTTCCTAAGTAAATAATTCTTCATCTGTTTATCTCACACATAAAAACTATTATAAACACATTCAGTCATCGATAGCTGCAATATAATTACCCAAGTATAGGCTGATAATCAAAGTTTAATTTATTAATTTTTGGTTCACTGATATGAATATCAGTTTATCGAACACAAACGGACCATTATTATTGTGGGCCAAGTTTTATTTCAATTTTTATATTTAATAATCTACCTTTCGATTTGAGTGGCAAGCAAATTAATGGTTGTTCATACCTTTTCAGTCCTCATTAAATTGACATGTTTACCTTTTTCCATAATGCAAACAGCCCATTTCTAGAAGTTATAGTAGATAAAAAGTTGTAGGTTACGTTAAAATAAAACCACTGACGAAGTTTTAGACGAGTGTTAGTCATTAAAAAAAATGTGCGATGTACTGTGGACTATTAGTTAAAGTAGCTCGTTTTATCAATAGTGCGTGTTTCTCTCAATTTTAGTATTGATTGCTATTGCTGCTCTGCCCAAACGGTGATCGCTGTTGGCGTCAAAAGGGTTCAGGACAGTAACATCGTCGCCAATGGCTTTTTCGTTCGTAATGCTGTAATATATTTCAGTTTTTGTAATGTCATTAGGAGTCGTCCATTTCCAGCTTCTCTCAAGGATTTCTAAAAGAAGGAATTGATACATTACAAGTTCTCATTCCTGTGGTAATTAATTAACATACTCTAGAGTTTTTCTGATTCAAGCCAAATCGGCCTACATTTGGAAAGTCGTTATCATGAGGACAAATATCTGCATTGAGGTCTTCCATCATTCTTACAAATCTAAAGCGTTATCCAAAAGGACGGGTAGATTTGGACAGTTCATGGCGGCCATGTTGTTCAGGCTGCATCTGTTAAATCTGTTGCCTATTAGGTACATATTTAGTCACTGAATACAAGTCACGATTGCAAGTTACAGCGTCAAGCAACAAAATGCAAAATGATAATTTTGCATTTTTATTTTTTCTTATGGAGTTCAGTGACATGCCTAGGTATGGTATTGTAATTTTTCCGCGAAAACGAAGCGAGAAAATTGAAAAATTTAAGAGACAAAAATGTTGTATTTTTAGTGTATCTATCTGAATAATCAATAAAAATCGTACAAAAACTACAGAGTGATATTTTTTTCTGCACAAAAGCAACCGACTTGGTCACTGGTTACGCCCCTGGGAATTCTGGATCAAATCTAATTGGTCCAGTAGATGTCTGATGTCTGATAATGGTCGAAATAAACCTTGAAAATTTCATCGAAATCGGCTAATGCTCTTTTGGGCTATTAATAAAAAACTATTTTTTTTTGAAAAACGTATCACCCTGTATCTTGGAAACAAAGCGTTTCCGGACCTATATCCATAGGAATTTTTTAAATTATTTTCATGAATACTATCTGCCCTTGAAGTTTGTAACACCTTTTCTGAAACACCCTGTATAGTAAAGGTCGGTAACAGCACAAAGTTTTAACATAATTTTTTGGTTTTTAATATACCTACTCTTTTAAAAATTTCAGAATCAATTAAAGATCAAATCGAGGAACTCATAGGAATGGAAATAGTGTCGGTTGGTGTTGGAAATCAGGTAAATTCAACGTTTTGTTCTTATTCCAATGTAACCAAGCATATTATGATTCTAGACAAAAGTCCAAGACGTAGTTTTTTCGAAAATTAATATGGATAATCAGTTCATGGTCATCTCTCTAGTTTGTGGAGTTTTGGTAGCTCTAATTTTGGCCACGATTATCTTGTCACTGGTTCGGCGCCACGTTAAATCTAAGGAAAAGCTACAAGGACTGGCTAGACCAGATACAGAAGCTAGTAAAGATTATCAGGATTTATGTAGGGCTCGCATGGCTACCAAAGGACAGACTACAGAAGGAGCTCATGATAAAGGTCAGCTTGAACCTATTTCTATAATTTAATTTCTCTAGGTAGACTCATCTTTCTTAAAACTACTGGAAAGTTCAACAGATGAAAAACTGATCTCGGGAGAAGAATGCATTTCGCTGTAAAGTTTATGTAAAACTGGCTAAATGAATTTGAATGACAAACGAACGGCTGATTCAGGGGCTACACTTTTTTGGTGAATAAAAAAAAAGTTTATTACAAGTACCGCACACAAAAAGTACCTAAAGATTGAATTTGCAGCGATTTTCCATGATTTCTTTGAACGCATTCACTACTGTCATAACTTTTCTATTTATAGTTTGAGTTATTGGACATTGGTTCAATAAAAAACACAATATTTCATTAAAATGATCCAAGTCTTGATGTTTAATGGGATAAAAAGTTTTCTTTATGTGCCTATTCTTGTTAGGACTAGGAGACAAATGAAAACTCCGTATATTTTAGATGCTTTGCCACAGGTCGACTGACTATCCCAAATGCAAGCAGTGTCAATCAATAATTAGACTATTAGGTCATTATTTAACTATTAATGAAGCAGATAATGGAAATATAGAAGTTGGAAAAACCTATTTATTTATTATGATCAACAATTTGTTTAACGATACCTCGCTCAATAAAATAGAACCAAACGACTCCACACAGAAAGTACAAACCTTAGTCAAAACAAAGCATCTAAAAGGTTTTAACGGATTTTTTTCCAAAATTATATCCCTTCATCGGACCCAAAGTGTCTTCGACTCATAAAATGTCAAAATTAATTTTTGATACCTATCCATGTTTCCACTTTCTAATATTCAAATTTCAAATATCTAAAGGACTTCAGAGCTTATCTGCAATTTGGAGTATTATTTCTATTCACTATTTCTTTTTCCATTTATAAGGCCGCATTACGTCACTATCTCGGGAATCTGAACAAAGCCCTTCAAGTCGCTCTAGTACCTCATCATGGAGCGAGGAACCTGCTTTACATAATATGGATATTTCTACAGGTTCGTAAAAATTCTTATTTTTTTTCCAAGGACTTGCTTCTAATTTAAAAGTTCTAGGCCATATGGTACTTAGTTACATGGAAGACCATCTCAAAAACAAAGATCGTTTGGACCAAGAATGGATAGCACTTTGCGCTTACGTGGCCGAACCTTGTGAAACTTCCATCTCTCACAAAAAACAAAATATGGAAATGAATCGGTACCCTGAGGTGATTCCCTATGATCACGCCCGTGTTATTCTGAATGAGCTCTCTAATGCTAATGGATCTGATTATATTAATGCTTCGAGTATTACTGACCACGACCCAAGGTAAGAAGAAAAATGTATAACGTTGGTTTTTATGATATTTCCGAGAAGAAAACAATTTCATAAATAGGATAATTTTGGTACTTTCCCCTAAATTTTTTACCATGGTTATACAGGAACCCAGCCTATATAGCTACCCAAGGCCCCTTACCGCATACAGCTCCAGATTTTTGGCAACTAATATGGGAACAAGGTGCCGTAGTTATTGTAATGCTTACTAGATTGACCGAAGGAGGGAGTGCTATGTGTCATCGTTATTGGCCTGAAGAAGGTAAGCAAAACGATAATCAAACTAAAACTATGCTAGTTGCTGTTTTTCAGGTTCGGAAGTGTACCACATCTACGAAGTTCACCTTGTAAGCGAGCATATTTGGTGCGACGACTATTTGGTGAGATCTTTCTACTTGAAAAATGTTAAAACTGGCGAAACCAGGACAGTAACTCAGTTCCATTTCTTGTCTTGGCCCGAAGCTGGTGTACCAGCGTCGACTAAAGCTCTCTTGGAATTCAGGTAAGAACGATTCACCAATGTTGTTTTCGTATTCCCTTAGGAAAACTACATTTAGAGTCATACAGACTTCAAAGTTCAGTCAATTCAGGCTATAGTTCCAGTTAATTTATAGAAGCTTTCCATTTCAGACGTAAAGTGAACAAATCTTATCGTGGTCGTTCCTGTCCGATAGTAGTACATTGCAGCGATGGAGCAGGTCGTACCGGTACATATTGTCTTATTGATATGGTACTGAGTAGAATGGCTAAAGGAGCTAAGGAAATCGATATTGCTGCTACGTTAGAACATTTGAGAGATCAAAGACCTAAAATGGTAAGCTCAAATAAGTACCTACTTCTCTGATATTTTTTTTTCTGATGAACTTGTTGTGACAGAAATGAAGTTTAGATATAAATGGAATATGATGGAAGTATCTATATTATATTTTAAGCTCTTCGAAGGGCGGCAAAGTAGTTTTTTTACCCAAGTAGAAATAACAGACGCAGTTTTATGAACAATATTTAAACTATAAAGGTAGATAAGGGTTTCTATATGATATTACTCAGTTGTAACATGAAATGCAGTTTGTCAATTATAAAATATCACATGAAACTTTCTTTACAAATAACTTAAGTTCATGCTTCAATAGAAAAATCATTTAATCATCAGTAGGAATAGGCATTTACTCGCTAACGAGTGTTACAAGTCTCTTGAGAGCATCATTAATTATCTGAGGCCTAATTGATGGCAAACTGAGCATATTCTGGACTAGACCCACAACTTCTCCCACATTTATTACACACCCAGTCAGAGGTGGCCGATCGTTGTGCTGGACCAACTCTTATCAAACGTTCTCGTTTTCTCTACAATTCCGTTTTTCCTCCGCATCCCTTCGCTGTTGTCGTTCGAAATACTGCGAGTCTATCAAGGGCCTTTTCTTCCCATTCGCCCATATGTTGTCAGGTTTGTTTTGAGGACGTCTTTGTATCGTTTGAGATGTCCTCCCTAGTTTCGTTCTTCATTCCTTTGTCGGCATTACGTACTTTTCTCAAGAAGGCGCGAGTCTGGAATGCGAACGACATGATCAGACCAGCAAGGCTGATGTTGAATGAGCGTTTCCTGAGTGCTGGTGGAATTGGTTTTACGAAGGAAACTGTTTTTCGTTCGGCGTTCCTGACAGTCTATTTGAAGTATTTTTCTCGAGCAGCGCTGGTACTTTTCAAGCACCTCAAATGCTGCCTATAAGTGATCCAGGTTCCACATTAGTTTGGGCACTCATGTCATGAATATCAAGTAGACACCTACTGTAATATTTAGGAAATTTGCCCAAACAAAGAAAAATTTATTTCTAATTAAATGATTTATTCTAAAAGAAAAAGCCAAACGTCTATATGCATGAAAGTACAATTATTGTTTTTTTTTTTTTAATATTCCATAGTAAACGTTTCCCAATATATTACTACGTAACGTAACATGAACTTTTCCTCAACAATAATAAATAATAATTATACCTACTAGGTACACATAACAGGTACCCATTTCAGTAGATGTCCCAATGCTGCGCTGGCGCACTTTAGTCGATGTTGAATTTCTGCCTCAATATTTGTACTATTATGGAAGATGGCTGGGACGTGTTTTATTTTATCTAGAGGTGCTCCATTGATAATTACAGCTGAAACGTGGTGCATTAGTATTTGGGGCAGGCTTATATGGGATTTTATTCTTATGCGTATTTTGTTCTACTTTAATTTCCTGTGCTTGCTCGAATCCATGCAGAGTAGTTTGTAGGTCTTCCTCAGTCTTTGTCAGAGCAGCGATATCATCAGGAAATTGGAATTCATTAGAAACAGTGAAGTTGTTGTGGATTCGAGAAATTCCTCTACCAATAGATGGCGCTAAATTATGCAATAATAGGTCTGTTTCCACAGAAATCGCAAACCAGTCAGAGCGAATCTCGTTGGTTGAAAATAGTAAGGAAAGTGGTTGTGGGCCATTTGGACCAATCAAAAACGCCCTGACTGGTTTGTGATTTCTGTGGAAACTTATAGCAATATGTCTGCCGAACTAGTGAACAACAAAGCCAGTTTTTTGAGGTTAGTTTTTGTTAAATTGTGTTTTGTGGCGTTTTTTTGATTTATATAACAGAAACAATACATCAAAAGAATATTTTTTTGTAGAAAATTAAAAACTTCCAAAAACAATGCCGGGGGCCAAATGCAAATTTATTGTTCACTGAGTTTTGAATACCAAAGTTGATCACCGATGTCTCCTACTTCGGGACCTTTCGCGAATACCTTCGTATTCATTCGACGCCTGCTATGCATGAATATCTTACTACATCAGTTCCACATAATAGGTGTGTTCGGACTTAGTTCAGAATCAGTTCTGAATTGAACTGCGCTTGCGCATTTGTTCATATCGATCATCTAAACAAATGCACAAGCGCGGTTCAATTTAGAACTAATTCAGAACTGATTCTGAACTAAGTCCCAACAAACCTAATAAGACATTTCAACGGCAGGTTTTCTTGGACAAGCCGAAGTGCCGTTTCTTTGACTATAGAGAAAAAACTTCGCGCAAAGACACATCCTTGCTCCACTCCGAGACAAGTTCTACATGTATATTCGTCAATACTTCGTGTTATAGGCATAGACAATATATTTCTATTGATAATTAAAGAAAGTTTTTGAAAGATCGTCTTCATGAAAAGTTCAAACAAAAAATATTTTCCCAAGACGGCTGCGATTCTTAAAATTACAACTCGGTGGAGAAACGTATTGGAAATTGGAGCTTAGAGATATTTAGAAGAATTAAAAGTAAGAAGAACGCCTACAAATATTGATCCAGTAAATGATGAAGAAGTATTGGCGAAAAGTACCTACTGGTTCTCATCCACCTGACCCAAGGAGATTTATAATCCTGAATGTTTTTGACAGCATTAAACTTTTTCCCAAAAAAACAACAAAAACGCTCAAACAATATTGTTATGAAAGAATTTCTGAAACAAAGAAAGTGAGCATGGATATTATAATACTAATCGAGACTAAAAAGAATTGACAAGGGTCAGAAAAGCTACGACAATATGACCACTTTTTCTCAGAAATTCCAAGAGATAAGAGGCAAATAAGGATTGAGTGCCTATACTCATTTGCAAAATTTTAAGAAGGTGCATTACATCAACGCATCATTGATCTAAATCTATACTTACATACGAGCAAAGTTGCACGATAGGAGTAACTATACGATCTAAATGATGAAACTTTAAAAACAAGAACTTCAAGAGAATTACCGATAATTGTATTAATGCAATAGCTGAAGAAAAAATAGTAGACAATTCTGAGAAGAAACTCTAAATGAGAACGGAAACAGATTGATCAATATATGCGACCAAAATAATCTGGGAATCTTGATTGGCTTCTTTCAACACCGGGAAATAGGTAAATATACCTGAGACCTGATTCTCGAAACAAGGAAGCAACGTTCTCATGAGAACAGATTTTTTTTCTTTTTCACTCATGTAAGATTTTGCATGGAACTGAGAATGACAGGGCATTCCTTCTTATAAGAACCCTGGGCTGGGACTTTGTTATGCCGGTTAGTTCCATTTGGAGGACATTTGTCATGGGACCAAGGGCTTTAGTGAGGTTCAGTTTAAGGGCTTTAGAGTATACTCCGCAGTTCGAGCCTTTTCGAATTTCGGATCCATCAGTGCGATCTCAATTACACCTGCCATTGTGTTATTGCCCATAATGCCTCTCGTATCGATTGTATAGTGTTTCCCAAAGACGAAAAGTGGCGTTCCTTTCAGTCCCGAAAACAATATTGTCTATAAATATCGCCTAGTGAGACAGTTTGATAGTTTGAATACGCTGTAGTATAACATACCCGGGTTCGTTAAGCAAGATTGAACGGTGTGAATTTTTATTACCTTTTAAACAACAAATCTTCTGAAAAACGAAATGAAAAACAAATAGGACCTACGTTGTGGGAACTTTCTCAATTTTACTTACTGGACATGCGCCCGACATAGCAAATATTTGGGAAATTTAAAGGAAGCTGTGGTATGTAAAAGAAACAAAAATTTTGTGAAACATCTACTTTATTATTAAAGTAAATCGTACCTTTCTCGGCCTGGAATTCTCGAGAAGAAAGAGAACGACAGAGAAACCCTCGATCTAACATTCCTCAAAAATCCAAACACACTGTGTCATTTTAATGATAATTGTGAGTCATTAATTCAATAATTTAAGTCAATGATAGTTTAAATTAGGTACCGTCTTTTGTCTTTGTGTTAAAATTTTAATTCCACACACAACATTTAATCAACACTACCTATATTCAATACTGAAGAGTTTTTTGGTTAGTTAGCCAGTTTCCCAACAGGTACTGAGGTCCCATACGGGATGCTACCCAGCTATAGTTGTTATTTTGAGCCAATATCTCTTTCCTTTGTTTGGTAGGATATTCGCTCATCAGGGTAGGAAAATGTTAGTAAATTCAACAAGGCCCTAATGCACGCTCTAAATCCAAAAATCAAAATCCCAGCACAAAAAGACACCTCATAATTTTTCTAGGTTTTAAGTTACTCTTTATCTGTGTTGTTTACAGCATGAAACGATTTTTGAACTCTCAAAAACAAAATAACAATTATTCAACTGCCCTGTGGATACTCCTTTTGACACACAAACTAACCAAAAATTGAATTGAACAATCAGTTTAATACAAAATAAAAAAAAAAATTGAATAATGAACAATGGCGAACAAACGTCTTAAGGGACCAGCCCAGAGCCCTGCTTCTTCTCTAGTATAGTCGCTTATTCTCTCTGCCTCCTCTTCGTTGGTACCCTTCTGTTGCGGCGCGCTCCCTCATCAATTTCACAGAGCATTACATGGTTGCAACATTCGCTTTTATTCAGTAAACGTTTTTTGAAAAATTAAGATTCAATGAAATAATATTTTAAATAGGTGGTTTTCCTTAACGCAAATCTAGGTATTACAAATCTCGGCGAGCAAATTTCAAATCAAGACAATTTCTCAGTAACAGAACATAAACTATAGTTGAATCAAATCCAAGCGGCCGTAATGACATAGCTGGTCATTTTCATTACAACCTATCAAATGTCCTCCGTGCATGCTCACTGGTCCAAGTAGGGTGTTTCAACCAATAGGAAGCCTGGTGTTTGTTTACAATTTCGGTTATTTAATGTCATTTACTGCCGCTTGGATTTGGAAATGGTGTAGGTAGGTACTCAAAAGGTAGAAGCAATACATGTTCGATGGAAAAATATTTTTGTTAGAACGAATGATTTTAAATTTTTTATGCCTCACCATGGCAAAGAGACGGGCGTTGGTCAATTGATTTGATTTTTTTCTTATGCAGTTTTCTGACTTAAGCTATTTTTGCGGGAGCTATTGGAAACCCGTAATGATTCTTATTACATTATAAATTAACTAAAACCATTTTTGTTAACATTGTTCCAGGTTGCGACAAAACAACAATTCGAATTCGTGCTTACGGCAGTAGCGGAAGAAGTCCATGCTATTTTAAAGGCACTACCACCTCAACCTTCTCCAGTGCTCCAAAACACTCAAGATAAAATGGATAAATAAGTTCACAAATAACAGGATATATCATTGGTGATTATTCTATAGACGACTCAGGCAATTGTTAAATGGTTTACCGAAACAAAACAAAAAATCTTCTTATAGCTCCGACAATAAGCAACGCTCAATAACAGAAATTCTATCCATCCCTACTTTATATTGAGGGTTAGCTTAACTCTGAGCCTAAATTTTAGAGTTTGATTTCAATGGCTTGGAATTAAATTCTAAAACACTTAGAAAATGTCTTCATTTGGTTACCTATACTTTGTTAAGGAATTTATTTTTTTGCTCTACTATACCTTTTCAATGTCTACATATCTAGTAGAAAATCTATCAGGTTTCCCCCAAATCGAAAGAAATATTTATAATATATTTATCGCAAAGATATATTTTGTCATCCCTACTTGGGGTTATAATCCTATATGAAGCTTTAGGCGATAATAGAGATGGTAAATTATTTATGGATGTTTTTTGGGTGTTAAAATATTCATCCTTTAACAAAGCTATCGCATATGGGGCACACTGGTGTCCTAATATCCTATTACATATAATTTGTCTAGATGTATCAATGTATTCAAAGCTGTGCTTAATAGTAAAACAAAATTTATTTTTATCGTATATCAAAAAAATATTTATTCTATGTTGTTTTTATAATATATTTATTTATTGTTGATAAAGTTTATTTTGAATAGGTGGTAATTTAAAAATTGTGACAGAACATCAGCAAACATTTGCCCTAGCATAAAATCTTTGTATCTCAAATTTGCTCTTACATCAGACAATTTTTAAATAATGAGTCAATTGTAACCCAGCCATTATTTAAGATACAAAAATACGGCATTTTCAAGATTTTCCTTTTATCGTGAGGCCTGTCTTTAATTTTCCAGCCTCTTAAAAACAGGTCCCACCAATTCTCTAATGCTTAATACAAAGTAACCAGACTGATTTTAGTTTTCTCTGTGGGTTCTCTCCACCATTAAAAATATTTTATCAGTATAGTCGGAATTCGGTAATTAAAATCTCAAAACGGATCTGCACCGTTACCGAATTTTCCGACCAACCGAAAAAAGTTTCCTTGACTTTAGTACTAGTGGATAAAAATTTAAAAAAATATAAATTACAAAATAAATAAAAATGTTTTAAAGCTAATATATTGAACTTATATTATATAATCAAGTATATTTTGTCAAATTATGAAATAATAATATTAATAAAATATGATGTTAATGTTTAAAACTGTATGAAAAAATCATCAGTGTACTGATTCTATCTGGAAAATTAGACTAGTTTAATGTACTTGTGTGTATGTATACAGCACATTAGTTGTTGTTATTTATGTCTTATTTCCTTCCTTACCCCAAAAAATCCCGTGAGTACTGAGGTATGTACCTATCTGAATTCGAAAATGGAAAAATATTGATATTTACTGTGTAAAAAAAAATGAGGAAAGATAATAACGAAGTGTAATTTTATTGTCAATTATTGATAGAGAAATATTTTGAAAATCTGAATAGCCATAAAAACTTTTGTTATTAAAATTTAAGGCAAGATTGAACGGAACCGTTATTTCCGCTGATTAGAAATTTTACTGTTGAAGATTTTGACTCTTAAGAAAAACAGAATAATAAATTCTCGAACATAAAAAGATCCTCAAAAAAAGGATGGTCTGAAGTAGGTCTGCTATAAATACGAGCCAATATCAACTTATGGTCACGTTATCCGAGAAGAGTGCAATAATCCAAGAGGCTCCCTGAGGCTGACTTTTGTATTTAAATCAGGATAATAATCCTCTTTATATACCTAAGTAATACACTGCATTTAGCGAAAATTGTATCGATTTTTCATACCAATTCCTGCAAAGCAAAAGCAAATGCTGGTTTTCCAGGTGTCCTGAATGATGTCTGAAATGTCCCAGAAGTGGAAATGTAATGATAAAATTTGGCAACGCTGTAAACTGCTAATGCAACAGCTGCAATGGAGAAAAAAATGGCAACAATTTCCATTGGAATTTTTGCGTGATGATAGATTTATTCCACTATCAACTGTCAATATCAAGTCCATAATACCACAATTTCCAATGATCCACATTATTGTTGTTAAAGGATTACTTTCATAGAGTGAACAAATAAAAAGCTTCGCATCTACTGGGATTATGAATTGGCTCCGTATCCGGTTCCTCTGTTTGGCGAAGGTGGTAAGCGCAAGACGAATAAGTCAGCTTCCTATGACAATTTCCAGCCATCTCAATCTGAACCAAAATGTCATTTATATCGCTGATGGGGATTTCCATTGCACCAAGTTATATGGCATCAAAATTATACATATTATGGTGCTATTTTCCAAGTATGTGTTAATTATGTGCAAAATCACTTCGACTCGAGCTCCATTATCATTTTTGATGGTTATGGAAATATTAGCAATAGTTTGTAGACTATGGAGCAGCTTCGCCTGACCTCAAAATCTTCATCTGTTGACATGTGGGTACTTTGTAGAGCAGATAGTTGCAACAGTGCGCTAAGAGTAGCACCTTTCCATTAATAAAAGAAATTAGATTTGGATGTTGATAAAAAAGTTAGAGGTAAATAATAATATTGTTGGGCATGCCGAAAAGATGCTAACATTTTGAAAGTCGAAGAACTGTGGAATCATGTAAAAATCCTACGGTTGTGTTTCGGGAACATGTTGAATGGAGTTATCAAATTGAAGTAAGCAAACCAGCCAAATTGAATTCATTACCACCCACAAAAGATGCAGTTCAACAGCATCTATTTCCTGTTTATTAACATGTACAGAAATGGTAAGTTGACTAATGGAATCCTCAAGAGTGAGCGGGATGTTGAAAAATTCCCACCATCATAGGTATTTACTCGCTCACGAGGATTATAGTAATCTTGGCACCCACAATTTGTTGATGGTGTAAACCAGCTCATATAAGACGTTCCCGGTCTTTCCAAAGATTTCGTTTAGCCTTTGCGCGCCTTCGCCTCTGTCGTTCGAAATACTGCGAGTCTATCTAGGGCCTTTGTCTCCCAGTTAGTTGCCTATTCTCTAATTGCGCATAGTCTGGCAACACCGCATAAAAAATCCACAAGGATGGTACCCAAATACCTACACGAGTCTCAATAACCTAGGGCTTGGAATACCATAATAGCCCTTAAACTCGTTTACCACAGGTACAGGTTTTCAATTATTTTAAACTTGCTGTGGAAAATAAAAAAGTGACAGGTAGTGGTACTTCATAACTTGACACCCTGTACCACGGAGAAAAAAAGGAGAATGGGATTCGAAATAGTGAGGACCATCAGATTTTCAACTACAATTCTTTCACTATGTTTGTCAAATGTCAAGTGACATGTCAAGTGAAATAAGGAAAATACTGGTGAATCCGGGTTGAAAAGGGATTGCATTTATTTCGGAAACTTGATGCGGCTTAGCTCAAGTCAATCTAACAGGCTGACCAGAGTCGATTTAGGTTTTTAAGCCGCTTGAAACCCAAATCTCGACCGAAGATTTATGGGAATTTACCAAGATGCTTGAGTTTCTATCGGGATCGAACCGTTGTAATAGACGTAGTAACTGAATGAGTCGATTTTCGGACAGTTATAGAAACAATGCTAAAAGTGATGTTGTTTTGTGAACAGTCAAGCCGAATTTGATTGATTCAAAGTGTTGTAATAGTGCTAATTTCAATGTGATTTTTGTGTTGTTTCAACTAAAGTTTATTTAAATTCGGAAGAGCAGTGGCATTCATCTGCGAACCCGCATAGCAATATTTAGATGCCTAGAGATGCATGCTTCACGTTTTCGACAATCATCAAAAAACAAAACAAAATTAGACGACTTCCATTTACATGATTTGAAAGTTTTTTGAGAAAACAAAGCAAATAAAACTGAATAGGTAGGTATGTATTTAAAAGTTTGCAAAATAACTTAGAGAGAATTGAAATATATGTGACATAAAAAACGCAATCACCCACTAAAAGTGTTGAATTTTTAACATATTTTCCACATGTGTTTATGGTGTAAAAAATAACGATTGTTCGGGAAATCGCATCCTATATAGTTCAAATTCAGTAATATGTTACTCCTCCATTCAAACGAATACATTCAGCAGTTCACGTGAGCATACTTCTTATAAGATGATTAATGGAGTCTTAAGGCATGTCATATGAAGCAACTTGTAGGCCATTACGCAGCTGTTGTAAGTTCATTGGAGCCATTGGAGGGTTATAAAGCATTCCCACCCTTCGACCCATCATATCTCAGATATAGTGATGTTGGCCTCTTGCAGTAAGTTTAATGTATCCGCTGCAATATGAAGACGGGCGTTGTCTTGTTGAAATGTGACACTTCATGAATGTAAATTTGGACATTCGAATGGCCTTGAAGAAATACTAGAGAAGTTCTATTGCCTGGGCTGATAGCACCCCAAACCATAATTCTTCTGGTAAAGGCTGTCTCACATTCCAAGACCAATTCCAGAAGCCGCCTTCCACCTCTTCGACGTCTGACTCTTCTTCGACCTTCGTGAGCCCACAGGCAAAATAGAGATTTGCCTGAAAACACGACTATATTCTAGTCTTTGTTTCAATTTGCCCGTGCGCTGCACCGATGACGATTGGTTAGAGGGAGTACCTATCACTCTTGAGCGATATGAAATGAGCCCATAGAAACAAATACGGCGATATGGAACGCATTGTGATTCTATGGCCTATCTCTCCCAAAAAAAATATCCCCTATCGATCTGAAGGTACTTACTATGCCATCCCTAAGAGCAAGTAGTCTTAATCTTCTGTTTTCTCGTTCTATTGTTATTCTAGGTCGTCCTAGTATGTAATAATTGTATTCAACCATTAGTCAAGTACGGTGGCTGAGCATCAGTCCAAAATCACCAAATTGGAGAATAAAGTATTGTCTCTTGATAGGAAATCTCGACGAAATAATATAGCTGTTTGGGGATTGAAACTAGCAGACAATTCAGATGTACTAAAAGTAACTCTTACTAAATTAAATTCGTTGTTAGGGACCAATATTTCAGAGGGAGATATAAACAACGTTTTTATTAATAAAGCCTCCAATTCGGCGCCAGTTATCTTAGAGTTTGTGTCTAACTTAAAAAAGCGTTACATTTATAGCTTAGTTGGTAAACTCAAAAACAGTGGCATATCCATATCGCATGACAGTAGCTTCGAGGATAGACAGAAGCAAAAAGTTTTAGTTAAACATCTTCGTGAAGCTAAAGAGCAAAAGCTTGATGCAAAAATAAAAAACGGCAAGCTAGAGATTGGCGAAGATAGCTATTCGGTGGAGGAGCTTTTAGAATTGGAAAAGGAAGCAGACAGCGATTCTGATTCATCTGATAAAGAGCAAAACCCAAACAGTGGTGGTGAAGTTACCAGTACCCCTGGAGAAGTTTCAAAATCTATAAAACGCAAGCGCCGGAGCATCGTTTACAGCCCAAAAAAGACCAGAAGCACAGTCAATAAAGATTGAAAGCAGCAGTTTGTTCAGTGTTTTTTTAACGTAGCATTAAATTTGTTCTCTTTCATCCTTATAAAGGAAATTATTTTTTTTTTCTTTGACCTTTCAATTTGTTTTCTTTATGTTAAAATTCGAATTAGGTTTGGAATTAAATTAAATAAATTTTTATTTCTGTTTAATCTCGCATCAAAGTATTTGAATTGGCTAAAAAAAAAAGGAATATATATAGGTAGGTAGTTTGTGGTTTCTTCATTCTAAGTGCCTGGGTATTTTGATTGTCGGCCTAAATCTATAAGATTTTTTTTTTTGTTGTTGTTTTTGTTTCATAAAATGGCTAGTAAAAATTTTAAAATAGGACACCTTAATACAAGGTCGATGTTTATGAAATTTTTGGATTTAAGAGCAACTATACTTGATGGTGATTATGACATATTCTGTATGACCGAAACTTGGTTGACTCAGGAAACTCCAGATGCCTTTTTACATATAAATGGGTATACATTGGTAAGGGTTGACAGGAAATTAAACAGGGGTGGGGGCGTTGGATTGTATGTCAAAAAGTCGGTTAATTTTACACTTCTTGAATCTGATGATGCTATAGAGCAGGTTTGGTTAAAATTCAGGTTGAAAAAAAATGGCTGGCAGTTGGTACTGTGTATAAACAACCTGACTTTTCTTTGAGTGCGTTTTTGGACATCTTTGAGCAGTCCGTCACAAATTTATTTTCAGAAGTCGATGAAGTAATCTGTCTAGGAGACTTTAATGTTGACCTTTTAAGTCAAAACCCTGCATTTTATACATACATGTCTTCGGTAGAATCTTTAGATCTATGCCAAATTATA